AATAAGTGTGTTATGTGTAAACTCACTCATTCCCGTTCTCCTTTTCTCCTCCCTGGTTTCTCAAGCCGTGACCCCGGCCTCCTCACTTCCAATCGATCCAACCTGATCTCACCAGAATGCGTGACTCCTCCACGACTCTTTAACACCGCATTGCGTGGTGGAGTCACGGAATCTTTTATATTTGCGTGTCGGCACCACGCAAACAACCCCAATGTAAAGTGAATGAGCCTCCTTTGTCGTGGTGCACACACGCATTTCTAAAAGTCCTGCAGTGAGCTTTTTATTCTATAAAACGTTTTAAAAATCTACTTTATAGTACTTTGTAGTAAATCACGGGGGGCTTCCTTTATTTTATTTNTTTTTTATGCGGAAGTGAACATTTCTTACAAAAACGACGTCAGATGTCACTGTAGTGTATATTTCTGTATATTTTTTTGAAAATCTAGTGTATTCATCATTTTCCTACACATTTATTCACAGGTGTCTTTAACCTGGAAGTTGCTCTTTAACACCGCATTGCGTGGTGGAGTCACGGAATCTTTTATATTTGCGTGTCGACACCACGCAAACAACCCCAATGTAAAGTGAATGAGCCTCCTTTGTCGTGGTGCACACACGCATTTCTAAAAGTCCTGCAGTGAGCTTTTTATTCTATAAAACGTTTTAAAAATCTACTTTATAGTACTTTGTAGTAAATCACGGGGGGCTTCCTTTATTTTATTTGTATTCATAATCATTTTTATTTTTCGTCATAATGTATTATGGTGCATTATTTACCAATGTTTGTTCTTAAAAAACGGTGCATTTTTATTAAATTCGTTATTTTTTAAGGAAGGCCAGAGCTTCAGCTGTGTCAAATAGATTGTTCCCTTTAGTTTACGTTATNCCGTCAGTGCACCGATGCCATAGCCCGCGTCGCGCTGATAAGCAAACGCACCATTTGCTGCCGTGAGAAGAAAGCCCAATTTGCAACAATTGGTTTTTACTATAATAATTGATAATTACTAGTATTCTTCATAACACGAAAAAATTTATTGCATTGATTTCCCCTTCGTTAGATAAACTGTGCCCGACTTAAAAACCTGTGTTCCGAAAGGACCACGTTTCTTAGATAAGAGACACAAGTAATAGATAAAACTGTGTCCCGAAGGAAAATTTTTTATTGATTAAATTTTTTGCCACCGTCCAACATAATTTATCAATAAAATACCCCCTTTCCGACACAGTTTTCTTCTCTTTTCGTCCTTCTTTATCAAAGCTGTGTCCTTTTCCCCGACCACAGTTTTCGAACCACAGTTTTATCTAACCAAGGAAAAAATCAAATGCAAAATATTTTCTGTAAATGTAAGTATAAAACTAGAATATCATTAATGAGTACAAAAAAATGTTGCTATTTGTCTTTTCTTTTTCCTACCGGCAAGGCCACAATGCGTGTTCCCGTTGCAATCAGCGGACTGCGTTTTATCCCGTGCCTGAACGGTGCAGTGCAGTAAAATAAATAAAGTAGGGAGTGTTGCCTGATGGTAATTCTCATAGATTTTTTAGTTCCCCTCAAATAAAGAAATTTTGTGCTTTAATATAACCGAAAATAATAAGGTGACATCGTGTCAGAGATATGCGCAAAGTAAGGACTTATAATTACAACTCAAAACATCACAACAAATCCGAAAATGTATCCGAATGCGCGTTCGGATCGCCGGTGCAACGTCGGATCGGGGCCAAAGCACAGTTTCAAACTCGACCTTTATCGTAAATATCAAATATTCGATTTACTTTAATCGACAGGGGCCGTGTCAACCTTCACCTCACGGACGATTATTTGTTTACAAATTTACGAACATACAACGGGTATCACAACAGTTGCTGTCGAAAGTTTGTGTCCTCAACAATTATCACCTTAGCCGCTTACTCAGCCTTGTTTTTACACCTCGGACCTCAAAAAGCGTTTCTCCTTAAACTGACCGGTCACCCCTCGTACCCTCTAACAATGTAACATCTGTAATTTATATATCGATCTTCTATATTCTATATATGTTAATATGATTTAATAATATCTCATTACGCGTCTAATTAATAATAACGTGAGAGAAGTAAAACCACATTAACAAACATTATAACACGATAACAAACATACGGTACAGGGAGTATATCTGTTATACGTGTCATATTTATAAATGCATTTCATATAACGAATATGCTATTACGTGTCTACAATTGGACAATAGATTACTACGGATCTCAGTACAAAATAAAAAGACAAATGCGAGAAGTGTTGAGAATATAGTTGGTTGTGTGGATAGGTGTGTGTGTCGTGTGTGTGTGTGTGTGTGTGTGTGTGTCGTGTGTGTGTGTGTCGTGTGTGTCGTGTGTGTGTGTGGCGCGGCGTTCGGCCGTGGGCGTGCGTGGCGTGCGGTGTGTGTGTGTGTGTGTGTGTGTTGTGTGGTGTATTATTATTGGTTGGCCGTGAAAAATTCTCCCGGTGAGAGAGCAGTGACAGAGAGAAAAGATAGTGAGAGAGGTAAAGAGAA